AAGAAAACTCCGTACACAAGGCTTTCTGTTCTTGTATTTATGGAGATTTCTTGTAGTCAAACGTGACAATTAGTAACTGTAACGTACAGAAAAATGCATTTGCCATCTATGTCGTACATGTGACATGCTAAACACAAACAGCTAGCTAACACACATGAAACACGTCAGAAACCGCTCATGGAAACATGGTCGAGTTTGCAAACTTATACAAAGTGATGGTTCAAGACATTTGTGGCCTTTATATCAGTGATTTATACACATAATGCTCACAAAGACGAAAACGTCCCAAGGCTCAAACGTTTCAGAACCAAAACAGCGAATATAAATGAGGTTTTTCAGACTTGGTTTCTGCCGGCTTGTTTTTCACCGTCAGGAAAAACGTCAAAGATCGTTTATGGTCGAGATGAGCCACTCCCTCTAATGTCACCAAAACCATCCTTTATGAAGATGTCTCACTCTGATAACTTTTTAACCATAACATTTATTTTATTTTTTATTTTTTTTACCATGAAATTAACTTATTTATTTATACACTGTGAACTTATTTGTAACCCTTTCACTAACTTATCACTCTTGTGAAATTATTCATGTCTTTGACCCAAACACATGACACACGGTGTCTCTAACATGCAAACGAATGTTGGCAAGATGGCCGCCGTACATTTACCAGAATTAAAGAGTTCAACTTAACTTTCCAGAAAGTTACTCAAATAACTCTGAAAAGTGTTGATGTTTTGCACAAGTGTGTCACAAGTTTTACTCCTCTACAGTGAAGAAATAGCTGCGATGAAGTCAAATTCTAACAGCCACTGATACAGTACACACAGTTACTGCAACTGAACAGTATCTGTAACAATCAGCTGCAGTTATTTCAGGTTATTGTGACTGTTGCCCTGGGCATCCATATTTAACACCGTATGAAACCACGCACAGCGAAGGAGACAGAAAGGAGGCTGAAGAAATATAAATGAAAAATAAAACACACGTATGTTCCCATTAAAGACTGGACCAGTAGGGTTGCAAGCAGCTTTCTGTCTATTGCCAGGCTGCACTATAAAAAAGAACGTTTTTGAACATTTTTCAATGTTATTTTTTAAAATTTATTTTACAATTTACTGTTATGTTAGACATTTTGTTTCTGTTTTGTTAAATTACAGATAAAACAAAAGCATGCATTGCACACACTTTAGTTTTGGCTCCTACGTATGTCAGGCCCAGAAGAGCAGGACATGAGAGAATACATGATGTGTGTGCAAAACTGGCCACATGTTAAAACATGCGTACATGATGGATGGATGTTTTTGATGGATTTTTATATTGCTTTTGTTCTTTTTTTTTTCTTCTTTTTTTTTCATGTTGCACAATTGTGCATGAACCAATCATTAGAATCTCAGTAGAGCTGCCATTTTTTAGGTTTTTCTTTAAATTTCTTGCCATGCTAACGGCGTGACTGTATTCATTACAATGCAGTTCAGTCCGTCCATCCATCGCTCTGGTCCAGACTGAAATAATTCATCACCTATTGGACTGGTATCACTGTAGTTCTGGTCTGCCGATGATGAATCTTGATGACCTGTGAGGGGGATTCTCAAGCCTTTGACCCTTTGAACCATTTTCTGAATGTCTTTTGCTCCCGTCACATCTTTGCTGGCAAAATGGCCACAGCACAAGTGTGACGTGATCGTTTCGCACTTTCACTTGAAATTTGAACATTTCTCAACTTTTCAAAACAAAAAAAAAAATAGAAGCAAAGTGGAGCAACACAATGCAGTTCAGCATCACCATGTTTAAAGTGAATGAAAAGCGAGACGATTAAAGCCTGAAACACACACGTGTGAGTTCTGCATTAGTCTCGTTTCAGGCTTCATAGCGTGAACCGTGTTCCTGGTGTGCTTCTTTTTCTTCCCTTGCAAGCTTTTCTAAAGGTAGTCTCAGGTGACCCATTTTAGGTTAAAAGAAAAAAATAAAAAGAACAACCACAATAAATTAGTGGATTCTGGCTTCGCGTTTTTTAAATCCACGGACATTCCGCCATATTAATATATTGACTCAGACCGGTGTGCAATAACAGTAGTCGGATTAATATTTCATGTTTTAACTGGGACATTCTAGAACCAAAATTACATTCACTGGATAGAAACAGATGCTAACCTCCGATTCACCTTTGCATGTATGAATGCGTGTGTGTGTGTGTGTGTGTGTGTGAGTGTGTGTGTGTGCACGTGGCCACAATCATGCCAGAGGGAAAAAGAGAGACATACACACGGTAATGCGATCTTCCCCCTGTAAAGCAGTGAGGCACTGTCTGGTCCCGGTTTGACACTTTTGAGGTTTTCAACTTGAAATATTTACACTGACATAAAGTAGACTCATTAAATTCCTGACATCGGTTATTGGGCTTGGCAACAATTTTTAACTATTGGCTTTAAAACACCTGTTTTACCAAAATGTATTTATATACTTCAGGTGCTTCGACTCGCTGCCTCTACACCCCGAATTCTCTTTCTCTGGCCTTTGCGCTCTTGTTGTAATCAAGTTTTTTTTGCGTGTAACTCCTGCTTTTACTCTGTGAAGCATCTTCTCGACCTGATTTTGCACCACTCTAAGTACAAGTGTGTCTATTTGCTCTCACCCAGGTGGTTTCCTGGTGACCCAGAAGATGTTGGACATGTTTAAACGCCCCACTGATCCTCCAGAGTACAACTACCTCTATCTGCTCCCTGGAGGCGTCTTCGTCGGAGGCTACGCTGCAGCTCTGCAGTCTGGATACAACATTGAACAGGTGTGAGAGGATGTTTACGCCACGTCCACATGTTCAGCTCAAGAATGCCTTCGCAGTTTCCTCCTGCAATCATTTTCTTTGTCCCTCCGAATTGGTACAAAACAGCCTTTGAATATATAAAAGTCCTCCAGACCTCCAAATGTATTCTTTGTTTGCCCAGATGTTGTACAGGACCTTCCAAGTAAAATCATTTCAGGTTTTTTTTCATTCGTGATCGCTTAATCCCTTTTTTCCATTCTCTCTCTTTCTCACCAGATGATGTACTTGGGCTCAGGTCTGTGCTGTGTCGGTGCCCTGGCCGGCCTTTCCAACCAGAAAACAGCCCGTCTGGGTAATGCTTTGGGTATAATGGGAGTCGCGGGGGGGATCGTCGCCACTCTGGGTGCCCTCAAACCAAATCCAGAGCTCCTGGCACAGATGAGCGCCGCCATGGCTGTGGGTGGCACTGCTGGTGAGTGTCTAACATCAGCAGAGAGAAGAGACTTACAGGCAAACTCTAATACCTGAAGAATTACGTTGCAGCCAAAGAAATGTCTCTGGACTCCCTAAAATAGTGGATATGGGTTTTGCATTTTATGTGCGTGAATGCACGTATTCCAAGTTTGGCCAGATTAAGCAACAGGTGTGCTGAGCGTACAGTCTGTGATGTTCACATCAAACACAACATGACTAACTCGCCGCCAGACGCAGGAGGTCTGTCAGCACGGCCGGCATCACGTATTACTCACTTTCTTTCTCTCTTTCAGGATAGCTCGATCATTTAAATGCTAATTGTTCCGGTAACAAAGCCGAGACCAGACTAAACTATCCACGCAAACAATAATGCTCTTTTCAGCAAAGGATTCCTTCAGGACACGTGCACACACACACGCACACACAAAGTGTAGACCAACTCACAAATGTGGAATTTCCCCGAGCAGGCCTCATCAGCAACACCTGGCTCTTCAGATGGGCCCACTTCCCAGCAGTCATCTGAGTGTGTGTGCACATGCTTGTGATTTGCATGTTATTTGTGTGCAGGTCTTTCAGGGCAGCTACTCTTCATGTATTTGTTGTCTTCCACTCTCAAGGTCTGACCATCGCTAAGAAGATCCAGATCACTGACTTGCCCCAGCTAGTGGCCGCTTTCCACAGCTTGGTCGGGATGGCCGCCGTGCTCACCTGCGTGGCTGAATACATGATCGAGTACCCCCACTTTGCCACAGACCCCGCAGCCAACCTCACCAAGATAGTGGCCTACCTCGGCACCTACATCGGTGGAATCACTTTCAGTGGCTCTTTGGTGGCGTACGGCAAACTGCAAGGTGAGAAAAGCACAACCACACATATCTGACAATCCCTGAAAAGTAAACATTTACACTTATGCTATGCTCGTGTGCAGACAGAATGTGTATTGACTTTGTTATGCTGCTGTAAAGCACATTCAACACACTGTTAATGACCCAAGGAGAATACAGCCCATTGTATGTTGCTATTTGACTCCTCATAGGTGCATAAAACACACTGGAAAAACCTTGGACGAGGTATTAGTTTGGCTTTTTGTTTAGTTTGTTTTGGAGTAGTTAAATCATAGATAATTAGCTCAGACCTAGTCTTCTTCCTTCCTCCCTTCCCTCTGAACCAGCTTACATTACAAGACCTGCTAGACCTGCAACTTCATTAGCTTAGCTTAGCATAAAGACTGAAAACAAAGGGAAACTGCTAGCTCAGCCATTTTGTTTTGGTTACAGATTAAACAAAAGTGTTAGATGAGGACCTTTACAGATGTTCAATGAAGAAACGTCTGTCTGAGCTCGGCTAGCTGTTTCCTCCTGTGCTTATTCTTTATGCTAAGCTAAATGAATCGAATCCTGGCGATAGCGCTGTAGCTCCCCACACACAGCCATGAGAGTCCCAAAATTTCCCAATTCCCGTTTTCTTTTTGTTAAAATAGAAATTGCATTGAAAGTGTGATGCATATTTTGTTGTGATTTTAGCAATTTAGCATTTTACAAGCTCTTATTCAGTTTCATTTGCAACTGCTTGTTGTGGGTTAAATATCACAAGGTAAGTGAGCTGTGAATCCCAGTGCACCTTAATATCAGGCTAATAAAAAAGATTATTGTGGATGTGAAGTAAGTCCCTTCTAAACAGGGCTGATGGAGTCTGTTTTTTTAAATTTGCTGCTTACAGATGATGTGTTAACTTGGCTCTAGCGTGTTTATCAACTTAAGAAGGCCACTGCTGCCCGCTGTGTAAAGGAAAGAAAGTAACGGTTCATCAGGTTCATGTGCTGGCACCAGTCCTGGCAGCCGCGCTGTAATTTCCATGTTGACTGCAAGTGTTTCATAAGGACAAATTATGCATGAACATGACATTCAGTTAATGACAAGTCTCAAGCGGGGGCAGCTAAGGGAGAAAACTAAATGATAAATGTCACACTTTGAATTTAAATGTCTTTACAGCTCAATGTTTTTTGGTTCCATTTCTTTCATATCATATATTTTACCTCGTCTTCCCTCCATCCTTTCACTTCATCCTTCTTCTCCACATGCAGGTGTGCTAAACAGCGCTCCTCTGATGCTCCCCGGTCGCCACGCTCTGAATGCCAGTCTTATGGCAGGCAGCATTGGCGGGATGATTCCCTACATGCTCGACCCAAGTTACACCACAGGCCTCACCTGTCTCGGATCGGTGTCCGCGCTCTCCGCTGTCATGGTACGTTTGTGTGTTTCTGAGGCCTGTAGTTGCACTCAGCGAGGCCCTTTTCGGAGGAAAAAATCTGCACTTACATAGTGCAGATTGAAATGTTCTTTCGTGCTGACAGTCTGAACGTGTAAGAATGTTGTTAAAAACTTCAGTAAATGCCAGGAAGGAGAGAAGGCATAAAAGTCATAAAAAATTATGCTAGAGGCAGACGAGAATGTAGTAAGTGAGAAACAGACAACAGAAGGGATTTACTAATAAATGTCAAGTCGGAGGCTTTTTGCAGAGGAAACAGTAGCTGCCCAGAAATTCACAGAGCTGGAAGTCAGAGTGGCAAAAAGGCCACGCTTTGTGAAACTGCCAGGCTGCTGCTCGTGTTATTGCCGTGGTCTCCACCGCTGTTAAAGGTGTAATACGTAACATTCATACATTAAGATGTTTAAGAATGACCAAGCCAGTGCTATATATTTTGGCTTGTGTGTTCATATTATCTTCCAACAGTGTTCAGAGAAACCTGTAGTTTTATTCAGTGTAATATTAATTTTAGTCATTCGTCTAAGGTGTCACATCCCCTTTACACACTTTAACCGGGGAAATGCAGTAAACGCAGATGACACGTCAGAAAATGTAAATGGAAGACGCTGGAAAAGTTGGAGTACCAGCCACGATGACCACGTAGAACCCCATGACTGAATCCACCTCGTAACATGAGCCACGTTAGCTGTATTTATCAGCCAACTCATGTAATACTAGGCTGGCAATTAACATTAGTTAATGGTACTTGCAGCTTTTTCATTAACAAGAAATGACATAATGTGAATTTATGTCCCTAAATGTAACATGTATAACGTTACTTTGTGATTTCTGTCGCAGCAGATCTAAAGGTGATCCAATGCAACTTTGCAATGTCATCGAACCACATCTTTTGTTTTGATTGAGACACCCCCAGCTGCAGAAATTACATCCTGTCTTTAAATCATGCTTAACTTTTTGAAAAGTTAATCAATGAGCAGTGCAGATGTTTTCTCCGTATCAGTTCTAAACACTAAATATACGGCAAAATATTCAACTATAAACAGCAACTCCAGCTACTGATGACCTCCAGACACAGATTATTCACTTACTTATTAAGTAAACTTTGCTAACTATAGCAGATAATTGTAATAATGATTTGGACAAAAGCAAAATAAAAAAAAAAGATTTTACACATTTTTCCAACATTGCAAAAAAGCAGTCACTGAGCATGGTGGCTAGTTTTTATTGTCTGATTAGAAGAAGAGTAAACATGGGAAGTGGTTATTTTTGTGGAATTTAATTAGTCTTGGGACACACTGAGGTTTTGATCGGCCTTGGCAGTTTTCTTTACTGATGTCGAGTTTTGCAGCTTCTGAAAACGGTTCATAATCAAGTGAACCCGAGCGCAGCCGACAAAGGCAGAGAACACACACTATTTTGATTACTGCAAAAAAAAAAAAGTGAAAAACAAAAATTAAACACAGTGACGTGTTGCGATTTCAGCATTTCTGCTCGCTTTGTGTATTTACATGTGCTGCTCGGAAAATCAGCAACTGGACCGAGTCCCAGAAAAGACTACGGGTGCATTCCCAGAAAAGTTAGATGGATATCGTTTCACTTTCTTTCATAAGTCTGACCTCTAATCAGTCGTTAAAGTACAGTATAATGCATCATCTACTGTACGTGTGTGTTCCTTTGCTTCAGTTCAACAATTCAAAAAATTAAGCCCACCCTTCTGGATCGTGCTGCTGCTTTGGTAACTACAGTTGGCCCGCGTCGAACAAAAGCTGCACAGATGATACGGGGACGAAGAACAAGTGAATCTGATTGTGAAAAATGTGTCTAAAACCAGAGAGGGTGTTTTTTTTCTGTTTGGTTATAACTCATAACTTCATCTTGCTCTTTCATGTACTGACTATATTAATATGATTACAGCCATGGATGCAATCTCATGTTTTCTCATTTGTTTCCTCCAGGGTGTGACCTTGACAGCAGCTATCGGCGGCGCTGACATGCCGGTGGTCATCACCGTCCTGAACAGCTACTCGGGCTGGGCTCTGTGCGCCGAGGGCTTCCTGCTCAACAACAACCTGCTGACCATCGTCGGCGCTCTCATCGGGTCGTCCGGAGCCATTCTGTCGTATATTATGTGTGTGGTGAGTGGAGCGGGGTCCTGGTTAAAGGAGGAACAAACATTGAAATGCTGGTACTTTGGGTCCCAGCATCGCTACTGCAAACACTGCTGAATGTGGTGGTTCCTCTCCTGTCCACCAGGAGGGACTCTAACTTTACCATTATGGCAAGAAAGTGCCGGCCGTGATCTGAACTCAATCTGAGATCATAAATGTGTGAAATATCCCTTTTTTAAAATTCCTTTTGATTGCCATATTTTGCTGCACATAGACTGTAAATAAAAAAAAGTAAAGGTGCAGTTGTTGAAGCTTAATACTAAATATCCTCTCTTCTGTCTCAGGCCATGAATCGCTCACTGGCTAACGTGATCCTGGGAGGCTACGGCACGTCTTCCACCGGTACAGGGAAACCCATGGAGATCACAGGGACGCACACAGAGGTCAACGTGGATCAGACCGTCGACATGATTAAAGAGTCCCAGAGCGTAATCATCGTTCCAGGTAAGACGCACACAAAAACACAGGCACACACACACACACACACACACTGGGGTCTTGTACGTCAGTGGAAAAACATGGTGCTTTGACTGTGCCAGTCACTTTTTTCTTTCTTTCTTTTTTTTTTCCCCCCAGCATTAGCAAAGTGTGTGTTCTGTTTATTTAACCTTTTCTTGACCCATGTTACATCACCATTTCGCTAGGCTAATTGACAAGTCATGGTGGAGCGTATACACACACACACACACACACACAAACACGCTCTTAGGTTTCTGTGTGGTCGTCAGTCCCTCGTAAGTAGACATTCTACAGTGCAGCGTATATATATGCAAGGTCAAGGGGAAATTAGATGGAATGAGGGCATGCTGGGTTTTTGTTGACAACTCAAACGCTACATTCCAAATTAGCTTCTCGTTCTTTTGTCAGGGTTAAAGCCAGACTTTGTTCGAGCTACACGGTTTTCCACGTTTCACATGTTTTCAATATTTGGCTCGAAATGTGTGTCAACCTCCCACCAGGACCATCACGACCGTCCTTGGTGCTGCTGCCCTATATTCGTCATTGTGTGGCCCAGTGACATTTCAGTCCTCTCATCAGACTGTTGTGGACCAGTCACTGCTCCAAAGAGTTGTTTTACTCACGTGGGTACACGTAAACACAGACAAAAGGCATCTAGCCTGCAAATTGGTGATTCCAGTCACAGCGCTGAGTGCCTATATACAAAAGCTAAATCTTCAGAGGAAACCGCTGCAATTTGCAAGAATTGCAAAATTAAGGTGGTCACGTGGTTAAAGTGAAAAAGCAGCGAGCCAAGGAGAGGCATCGAATGTAGGTTAAACCATGTTTTTTTGTATTTTTTTTTCTTTCTTTTCTGAGAATAAAGGAAGACAAAGAGGAACATGTCTGACAGCTAAAACCAAAACCAGGGACAAAAAAAAAAAAAAAGTGGAATTGGAGGGAGTGGGAGAAATGGAGGAGCGGAAATGAAAAATTATGTTTTTTTTAGCCTTTTCTCAAAAACGGTCCATAAACAAACCCACACCAGGACAAGACGGATAATAAAATACCAGACATTTCTTTGAAAGATTACAGAACATCATAAATCTGTTCAAATACACGGATTGGAAAAAGTTGAATCAAATTGTAATGGAACCTGTCAAAGTCATTTTACGAGCTGTGTAATTTAAAAGATATGGGTCAGTTATGCCGACTTTGATGCTCGGTCAGGGTGTCACACGGCCCTGAATATTGGATTCTAAATCGCACTTAGACCTGAGCAGTGTTGATGCAGCATTTGTTTGGGCAACAGCAGCTTCACGGAGATGTTTGCAAACTGAAATAGTTCCTTTGTTACTGTACAAACACCGGCGCAAAATCCAATCTTAATATTTAAACACTGAAACATGACATCAGCCAGAGCGCACAGGTAATATTTCACTATTGACAACAGTTACATAACACATACCATAATTCATTTCTCTGTTCTCGTGCTCGGCGTTAGACCGGTGTTGTTGCTCGTTGCCGGCTTTCGCTCGGCCCCCTTGTTTCCATTTCCACCATTCTCCCTAATTGGAGCCGTCACAGTCACTTTGCCTGATTGACATCTGTGGAAACGGTTAAGACCCTGCCTGATAAACATAAGTGTTTTCCTGGCTTCGTCTGGCCCATCTCTGCGTGGTCTGGGTCCAGTTGTTTTTCTTACGCGAGAAAAAAGCTACAGAGAGAATATTGGAAGCACAAGGAATAAAGGAATTGTGACGGAGAGGGAGAGAAAAAAGTGAAAACCATTAAATTGCTGAGCTGGATGGCAGACAGACAGTCAACCATGTTTCTTGTAGAGTTTTTTTTTTCTTTTCCTTTCTCAAGCTGAATTTGAAACCTTGTCATTTTTATTGGTGTGTTCTAACAAGACAGTTTCTGACTGGTTGTTGTGACAAGGCTAGTAAACACCACTGGACCGTTTGACGTGTGTTTGTGTGTGTGAGAGATGGTGTGATAAAAATCAAGTACCATACAGCGGATTATTAAACATGAAAGCAATCCGAGGCTCAGAGAAAGAAGCACACACTGTATATAGAATCCTGTGCCACCTTCTCACTAAAAGGCAACAGGGTTTTATAAATATTTAAGACATAACACTATTAAATTTGATCTACGCAGACACGAAGGCAGGCCAGATCATAGAAATGTTTTCGTAAATAGATATCTGAGTGGTGTTTTTTGTCTGTGATCTGTCTTATAATCCATATTGTGAAACTTTTAAGTGGATCGCCTCCCCCCCCCCCTTTGTGTCTGGTGCTGAATCCTTTCTAGCACAACACATTGAGAGCAAACCTCAGCACAGGGCCGACATGAAGGAAAAAAACATACATCGCTTGTTTCTCCACTTCAGATCACTTGAAATGAAATTCATTTAGGTTGACTGGGTCATGTGTTTGATATTTAAGTGCCTGGTTATACCTCATTCCAGACGGCCACACGGACAGCTGCAGACACCGCAAATGCATAGCTGCTCTTATTGTAATGTTTTCTAGTTGGCTTGGAGGATGCCTTCCTTACAGCAGCTCTGCATCCGTGTCTTCCAGCGCATGTGCACTTTGTGTTCTGGTAGTGGTCATAAACAGGTTCATAAACAGAGTCTTGCGAAAGCTTCTATTGACAAAGTTTATGTCATTTGGACCCTTGCAGATACAGCTTTAATGGTAAATGGTCTGCACTTATATAACCCTTTTTAAGCGCTGTACAATGTGTTTCTCATTCACCCATTCAAACACACATTCATACACCAATGGAGCTGCCATGCAAGGTGCTGCCTGCCATTAGGAGCAACTTCACGTTCAGTGTCTTGCCCAAGGACACTTCGACTGTGGAGGAGGCGGGGGATCGAACCGCCAACCTTACGATCTACCACCTGAGCCACAGCTGCCCTTTAATGGTGTACCTGCTAGGACACACACATGCACCGTCTTGCTTCACTACAAACCTGCAATCAACATTTATCCAAAGGTGTCCCAACACTGGAAAGAAAGATCAGATTAGTCGACCTGCTGGGAAATATCTCAGGATATTATAATACTGAGTTTGTGCTGACTCAGAATGGGCCTGTTGGGGTTGAGTCTGTGTCCAGAAAAGGCAATAACCGTGTTACCTGATTGGATAAAGTTGTCTGTTATTTCTGACTATTCAATCAATGTAAATGTCTGTTGTGAATGAATGAAATGAAAAATACTTTATTTATCCCAGAAGGGAAATTCAATAAATTATGCTTGATCAAATAAAGCCCCAGTTAACAAAACAGGTTACGAGGAAAGAATTCTTATCATTACAGTGCTGGTGGATTTCCTTTGGCTAAAGCCTTTTTGGGGCAACATCTATTTTTAGGCCTCTGTGCAGGAAAGACCCAGCAATTTAAAAAAAAATAACTTAAAAAGATATTTTTTTCCCCTTTATGATTGGTTGCTTGTCTAGCTCTGACTTTTTTGTTACCACGTTATGTCCTGATTGCAAACAACACACCTAAACCCAAAGAAGCCAAACTGGGAGATTATTTAAGCTGTAAAGACTAATGAGGGAGACAAATGGTAGTGATGTCTGATAAAAACATTCAGAGTCACTATGTGTCTTTGTCCACTGCTTCTACACTTCATTACACTTCATTAAATACGATTTATCTTCAGTCTCGATGGCACTCAGACTTCAAGAGCATCTTGTTTTAAGCCACAATAAAAGTCAAACGTGTTGGAAAGTTGTCTGCTCACAGTGAGGTTAAGGCATGTTTGAGTCCATTAACACCAGACAACCTGTGATGGAACAATAATTTTTGCCTCAGATGTGAAAAGTCTGACTGGTAAATTCTTGCACTTGGCCTAAATATAAACTCATTCTTAACTGTCTTTTCTGTTATTTTTTGTGTTTTTTCCATCTCAGGTTACGGACTCTGTGCTGCGAAGGCCCAGTACCCCATCGCTGAGCTGGTGAAGATGCTTAAAGAAGCCGGCAAGAAAGTCAGGTAAAGCAGAGACACAGTTAAATGTGTACGTGTATTTATTTAGAATAAAATAAACTGTTGTAACTAGCTGCATGTAGGTAGATGGATTTAGACAGATGTAGTTTAAGGAGAGAATAATATTCAATACTCTGTGGTACATTTATACGAAACAAGATGTAAACTGCTCCACGAAAGACAGAAGTAAGGAGTTAAGGTTTCCCTCTGGGTAATGATGAGATGAGATGGGACAGATAAGAAGAGAGAGTGTGTGAAAGAGAGAAAGAAGAATGAAAATGGAGGGAAAAGAGGAAATGCAAAAGAGAGGAGGGGAAGGACAAGGTACAGCGGAAGCTTGTGTAATTGTCCTGCCTCTGTCGTTTGATCCTGGCTTTTGCAGCTGCTGCTGCTTACAGCATTTGTACTTGATTAGAGGAAAGTGGGTGGTCAGAGAAAAAGGGGGAAAAAACCTCCTTCGCCGTGATCTCTTGCTCTTTCTCTCTTATTTTCTCTTTCCCTCTGTTCTGCGTTCAATCTCTTGACTTGTCGCTCGTCGTCTCGCTCTTCAGACCGGCCTGCGTAATCTTCCACTTGTCTTGAAGAACCACTTTTACTCCTCTTCCCCTCATTTATCAGTTTAACTATTTGGAGTCTCTTATTCAAAACCAAAGCCACTGGGTTTTCCCGCTGTCCTACTACGTATGTGTGAAATTATACGAAGGGCAGAAACTGGCTTTTTTTATCGATTGCCAACACATCCCAGAACAGATGGACCGTCTGCACTCCGTATCCGCCTAAACTCGCCGAACAAATAGAAAATAAATCCTCAGTTGGTGGTCATTTACATGGCAAAGTGGCTGGAAGGAGAGAGACAGAGAGAGCCAGCCACCAGGACTGAGTGGCTGGTGTTAATTTCCTGCTCTGATTACATGACATGGCTAATTGAGTTTGAGATCTGTGTGTACACCCGGTCACACACATGCAACACACCCCCAACAGATAATACAGGGTGGAGGAGTGGAGCTGGTAGGTGTGTGTAACCAAAACTCTCTGTCTCTCTCTCTGATTTAATGCAAGTTAACAGTGTTCAGTAAACAGGTGGATAAAAGAAGATGTGTTCACGGCCTTGTCCGCACGTAGCAGGGTTTTTGTAAAACCAAATATCCTGCCCCCTCCGTTTAGAAAAAAAAACTAACGTACACACAACTTCGTTTTTAGAAAAAGAATTCATCCACACCTAACCACATTCTATAAGAGGATGTAATAACTCTGACGACCAGGACATACGTAAATTGTCACGCCATTTCTCCGGGAACACGATTTCCGTCTCAAAGTTCTCCCACCAGCTGGCAGCGCGTCCCGGTCTGACCCAAAACCGGCGTTGGTGTCTCTGACGGAGAACAAGCCTCGGACGTGGAATGGCAAGGTGGCAGAAAATGATCGTCCTTAACACCGTACTTCACCTGTGTTCTTGTACGTGGAGCGGTATCTGGGCCTGGACCAGAGACAACGCCAACGGGGCGCCGATATAGCTCACCTAATTGAGTTGGCGTCCCACGTGCAGGGCTACAGTCCCAATGTGGAGGTCATGAGTTCGAATCCCGCTCATGACCCTTTCCCACATGTCCTCCTCCCATTCTTCTCCCCCACTTTCCTGTCTCTCTCTTACCAACACTATCCAATAAAGGCACAAAGGCCAAAAAAAATAAAAAAGAGACAACGCCAACACAGTTCTGAGGGCGTCCAGGCTGTTTCCAAATGTAAACACAGGTCGCACATGTGATATAAAGAACATATTTCGAAGCCTAAAAACCCGGTTATTGACGTCCATGGTCGGAGGTTTTTGAAAGAATCGTTTTTAAAGCCGTAAATCTGCGTTTCCGTGTGGATGACAGGCCACATCGTAGAAACATATCTTTGTCTTGTGAGATACCTGCTACGTATGGACAAGGCCTCAGTGTTCATTAAAAATCTCTATTTGGTTCCTGCAGGTTCGGTATTCACCCGGTGGCTGGCCGCATGCCTGGTCAGCTCAACGTGCTGCTGGCTGAAGCCGGTGTCCCGTATGACATTGTCCTGGAAATGGAGGAGATTAATGATGACTTCCCTGGTAAGAGCCAGTCTTCTCTATCTTTTACATTCCGATTCGTGCTTTCTGTGTACGTGAGGGTCTGCGCGACATAAATTTTGTCGTCAGCCTGTGAAGTCTGTGAGGCTCCATGTGGAAGCTTCTGTTGATGTGCTGACCAAAATTTACGACTGCGCACACTGTGAACGTGCCAACCGCCAATAGACCAGGAAAACAAAAGAGTTTGATGTGAAGTAGTTGCTGCCAGACCTGGAAGGTGCTTTGATTTGTACACACTTCACAGCAGGAAGTTCCAAATTCTACACACATCCTGTGATACGTCCGTATACAGCGCTGAAGACAGGAAGGCAGCAAACTCCAGCAGCATTCGTCACACCTCAAAACTATTCATCGACACGGTGCTACAACCCAGTCAGATAGAGCCGGTAAATAAGGTTCACGTGTAACTTCCTCATCAGTCAGCGCACAGAAATGCAGAAGCCGTGAATCGCTCTTCATTGTGACTCATTAGGTTTAATTTCGCTGCTGCCGTTTAGACACTTTGCCACCGAGGGCAATAAAAAGGAAAACTTTGGCATTTTAGGGGAATTCTCTTCTCTGCCTAAACAGAGCCAGACTAACCTTTTCCCCCTAATCCCCCCTAACGGTCACCGTCTAGCTTCACATGTAGCACACAGACATGAGGATGGGAACAATCTTCTCCTCTGTGTCTTGGCACGAAAGCAAATGAGCGTGTTTCCCAAAATGTCAAAACTTTCAGGTGAGAAGGTAAAGCTTGTGATTAGATGAATGACAAACTTTGTATATCCAGTAGATGACACAAATATTACAACACAACAACTACTTTTCTGTTCCCCAAATCTGTCCAGTATTGGTTGATTTCTTTGATATTAGTAGTTATTTTATAAACCTGTTTTTGTAATCTTCTCACATAATTTCGATCCCATCATCTCCAACATCATATCTGACCGAAAGAGGTACAACTTGTGAGCTTTATGATTAAAAAAATAAACAAAACAGGGTACACATAATCGGATAAATTAGAATTTGGCATTCATTTTGTCCCGCTCTAACTAAAAGTGCTCATATTGTCTGTTACTATAGGACATGACACATAAATAAGTTCTGACGTTCTTCACAAAACCTTGACATAAATGGATTTAAAGACAAACCTAATGAAGCGTCATCAAATGTCAAAAAACAGGAAAGTTTAACAAAAAATGTTGCGTTGCAGAAAGTAAAAAGGAGTCAGATGCAGACAAAATAAGAAGATATAGAGTTTAAATTGTCATTGGTTGTGTTTCCACTCCAGAAACTGACCTGGTCCTGGTGATCGGCGCCAACGACACGGTGAACTCGGCCGCCCAAGAAGACCCCAACTCCATCATCGCCGGCATGCCGGTGCTGGAGGTCTGGAAGTCGAAGCAGGTGAGACATCTGGCGGATGCATGTGCGATAATAAGATTTGTCCCGAAGCCCAACAAGATGAAGAGGAATGGAAGATTTTACAACAAGTGGACTGTCCACACCCGCAGAGGGGCCTCCGTCTGATGATACACACAAACCTAAAGAAATGCCGTCGCTTATTCTCACACACACACACACACACACACACACACACAGACGGTTCTAGTTCCAGGTGCAGTCGCATCCTGATCCCATTAGTGGTGACTGTGTCGGTGTGGAATGACAACATTCAGAGCATCCCACTGGCACTGCTCAGAGATCTGGGATTTATACAGCGCTCCCACTAGTTTCCACACACTTTCCCCGGGAGAAATCAAAGAGGACCGAACCACACACACACACACATTTATATGAATTATTCCATGCATCATACACTACTTGTAGAATTCTGCTCGGGTTAAACTTAGATACTATACGTCTTAACCGGCCAGAACGACAGGTTATGATTTATCGTTTTTGGAATTAAATTTACTTAAACGAAAACAAAGTTGTAAAATATGTTCACGCACAAGCCAAGAGGAAACATCTCGGCTGTATGGAAAAAAAACATCAATCACTTCACTTTATTTCCACGTCCAAGTTCAACAGACATTGTTTGGTGAGACGGGACTGGCCAGGATGAGGGAAAATTTCAGGTCTGATTTACAAAACTTGGAAGAACTTTGACAGAATTTTGCGTTTCTCCAGAGCTCTTCTTCACCGTCGTCGTCGTCCGATGAGACGCTAATCCGTTGTGCTCTGCCCCTCGTCTAGGTGGTTGTGATGAAGCGTTCCCTGGGCGTGGGATACGCGGCCGTTGACAACCCCATCTTCTACAAACCCAACACTGCGATGTTGCTAGGCGACGCCAAGAAGACTTGCGACGCCCTCCAAGCCAAGGTCCGCGAGTCGCAGTAACGCGGCTCAGAGAGACACCTCCACTGAAAGAGCACACATGGCGGCGAGAGGACGGAGGAAGACAACCAGGCAACGTTTTTTTTTTTTTCCAAAAGTACTCCGGCGTTGACATCATCTTTGTCCAATTGCAGCTCAGCCAACTGAGCAAAGATGATAACTTAGATAAAAAGGTTTTTGGCAAACCCTTTCTGTTATCTATAAATAAAAGAACGTTAGCTGCAAAAAAAAAACAAAGACAGGCTCGTGCAGGAAGAGCCAAATAATGCACACACTGTAGATTTATTAGTTCCTTTGGGTTAATGTACTTAAATTACTCTCTGACACGTCTTTTATTTCTAGATATTAAAGGAAGGGTGCGTCAACCATCTGCATGTGCTCTGCGTAATCTGGGGAGCAGCTGAGCGAGTGTCCTCTTCATTGTAGACACGTACGTTAATGTAAAACAACAATCAGAAGTGTAGATGCTTTCAAGTGTTAGATAATTTCACTGTTAAGATGTTTTAGGAAATAGTCAATAGATAAAAGAAAATAATAGATGAATTGGAGTAAAATATTGTGCTGGTTCACCACCAGAGGAAGAGACTTGAGCACTAACATCTTTTCCACTGTAAAGAGTTTCCTCCCCCCCTGTTTTTTTTTCTCCAGAGTTTGATTTTGTTAGGTAATATGGTGTTCCCTCGGATAGATCTTACTTGCTCATTTATTTTCTGTATAAGTTAAAGGAAAAAAAGCAGAATAGTGCAACATTTTTGTAAAGTTCTTTCAGTTCCAGTTTTATACTGTATTGAGAGATTTTTTGTATTCGGGCTAATCGGTGTCCTAAACTTAGAAAATGTCTGTGTGTCGTCACGCTGTTTGCTTTTTTTCTTTTCACTTGAGTGTGTCTTGTGACCTCCACCGATGCCTCCAGTGCACACTCGGATCCAAAAAAACTGTTAAAAAAAAACCCATTCAGGCGTCTTGCATCGAGCCCATAATGCAATAAACCGACTGGATGCGACCTTTACGTGTGAGACCGCAGCTGTCCTGTAACGCTAGTAAAGGCCTGTCCTGCTCTTACAAACAAACACTCTTGTAACTCTCGATGGCTGAATGGGTTTTATGATGTTTTTTTGAACCAGGTGTGTTCCTTCACCCTGTGTGGTTCCGATATTACAGTACATGAGATGCTAGCTTTTGGCCTTAACGGTAAGGAAGGGTTTTGTTTTTTAAAGTGAATGTGGCTCATCCACTCCAATGTGTGTCCTCATTATTGCTCTACAGGGAAATGAAGGATCACTGTTTGTAAAGTAGAGCCAGATGGCAGCCTGACTGTTGTGTAAAGAGTCTAAACAACAATGCAGTTATTTAAATCGAAATTGTTGCCACGTTTCAGAATATATGAATTGCTAGTTAGCATTTCTAAACTGACATCGCCATTTTTTTTTCCTCTTAATTTTGTTAAAACCTAACATTTGCCATAAACGTGTGCCAACCCCTCCACTTCTACACTCAATCTGGTTAGAAAACACGGCACAAAATCGATTGTCTGACTCGTGTAGTTGGAGAAAGATCACTAACAAAATGACAACAGCTTCCACTGTTATTGCTGTCCTGAGTTAACCGAGGGTCCGCTTAGTGTTTAGCTAAGGTGCTGCCGTTTGTATATTTCTTTTAGCTGAATTAGGATGTATATTGGTACATAGTTTGAGGAACAATAGCTCACGAGGTGACAGGTCGGCAGTCTTTTACACTTTATAATCTATAAAAGTACTGTACGCAGTTATAGTTTCGTCCTGGGACCTGATACATTGACCATGACAACTGTCCTACCTCTCCATAAAACGACCAACACCTTCCCACAGGACCTTCATCACGACCAACCGCCTCTTACTGTACCTACCGCAGGACCACGACAGTCGTTTCCTCACCTCTCACCTTATCCAAAACAAAAACCCAGGACCAATAGCCTTCTGTTTTGTGTTCACTTTTAACCATCAGACCTCAGTTTGCTCTTATTTTTTTTGGCAAGTGTAAAGCTGCAGATGTCATTAGTGTTTTGAGAAGGAGGTTATTGTTGTTACATGTCAATTTACACACACACACACACACACACACAGAGTCTTCACGACTACAAGATCAAGATGTCCGCTTTATATTTGTAACTCGTCGCCATTTTTTAAGGTATTGACAAATTAAGGGAGAAGGAAATTTTATAATGATTTTGACAAAAAGCCCCCTTTGTGCCCTTTTTTTTTTTTTTCTTCTTAAGGAGAGTATTTTTGTAAAGAGGCGTCATATTTGTGCAGAGCAACAATGGGATTTTGAAGTACCAGTGCGCCATGTTAGGGAGACGAAATGATGAAATGTACTGTGAATTTGTTCCCCCTCCCCCTCCCCCTCCCTCCTCTTTTGTTTATCATGGAACATTTTCATCCCTAATAAACCTGTATTTACACTAAGTGTTGCCTGAAGGTGTCACTTCTTCCCTGACACACTCTTAAAGGTGAAAGGTGCAATTGAATTCCCAAACAGTCGACATGTTGATCTGCAAGGTTTTCCTTGAGGTCTACCACAGCTTTGAGGTTAATGTTACCGGCCCAATTTTGTAACGGCTGGAGTTGAAAACTCAAATATTTGCAGCAATTACCTGGATGAAGTGATCATGAGGGGAAGGAGTTTAATCCACATCTCCTCACGTACTTGGTCTCTGCAGTGCTGCTCTACAGTATATAGTGTACACACTGGATGCAAAAGAGGTTCAGCTGGAGATGTGAGGCAAAAAGCAGGACTTAAAACTGCTTCTTCACTGGTTGGAAAAGCTGCTCATTTATCTGAAACTGTAATAAAGGAAAAATAAATGTTTGAGGAATCGCAGCAGAGTCCTATGTTGCTGTTTCCATAATAAAATAAAATGGGAATTAAATGCTGAAGAAGTCCAAGATAACAATGTAGCTTCAACACATGGTTTTCATGAGGATAATTAGTTAAAGACTGTCGCATAATTAAGCCATCGAAACACAGCTGGGAGGTGGTTTTCTTCTTGCCATCTTACAGCCAGTGTCATGCAACAAGCATTTCTTCTGTTTTTTAAACAAGAAGCGCTCGTTGCATGCCCAGCTCTGCCCCGGAGAGGCTTAGTGGGGAGAAGACGGGTTGGCAAAGCCACCTCTATAACCTCAAAAGGCTTTCTTAGTTGCAGAATGGGATCGCATGAGTCTGTGATGAGGGCTGTGACAAAGACTGCAATGTAAATATCAGTTTGTGTGACATCTCCGCCGACAAGCGGCACTTGATTTGCTATTCATCAGCGGGGAGCGAACTGGAGGCACTTAGGAGGGGAGTGGTGCCCACAGAGATAGAGTAGATTAGAGCGCAGATAGATTTATGGGCATCGGGGATTGCATGTGTGCGCGATGAGGGTGGCTTCATCCCCGTAACAAGTAGCACTCAGACGGGCTGTTATCTGCTCTCAGGCTTGAGGAGATCTGAAGAGAACTGTCACTCCCACAGCCGAGGCGAGATGCTGCGATAAAAGCTGAGAAACTACTGTGTGGGAATCTGCGCGTCTTAATGTTGCACGGTCATTTATTATGTGTGCATCATCTGTCCGACTTGTTTACCTCTCGAACGCGGCTATTTATTCGTCCGTCTTCGTGTGTTTACCTCTTGCAGTCACTCTCTTATGAAAGTTGGAGTGTGTCCGTGGCGTGAGTGTGTGTGTGTGAGAGACGGGCCATGAAGATACATGAGCTGATAAGTGCTGAGGTGACAGCATCCTCAGCTCAGATCATCCTATTGTCACACTGCCAGTATTTACTCAGAGCGCTGAAGGACAGCCAGCATGTTCTAGACACAATAAGCCTCCATTCGTCCTCCTTTGCAGGGAACACGGTTTGTTTTCTCTGCTCTTGCATGCGATTTGATGTGGAGTAATTATTTACAGCTAGGGTGTGTTGTGATGAATCTGTTCGGTGATGAGCATGTGGATTTGATGCTCGATAAGGTCAGCGAGCATGCATGTACATGTGTGAACAGTAAGCACTCGGCTTCTTTCACTCCAGCGCTACACTGATGAGTAACATCATTAAAGTGCCCCACCTCGTATTGTGTTGGCAGCCCTCATGCAGACAAAACAGCGTTGGCCCGTCACAGTATCCTGTGGTGTCTCCCTCCAGGACTTTGGCAGTGGATCCCCTGGGTGCTGCAGATTGAGGGGTGGATATGGGAAGCTTGGAGGCAGCTCGAGCAGTTCCTTAGCAGTT